GCTAAGTATTCATAGTTGTGTAAATACTGTCATACTAACAGCTGTCTGAATTATTTTGGTTGATTGTAATCCATTACATACCTTTCTATCAAAATTATCTGACATTATCAAGCTGAATTTGTTCTGACACAGTGTAACTCAGAGTTCTTGTCTTATTTTATTACCATTTTCTAAACTATAGTGAATAAACTGTGATAATGTGAGAAATGTTGAAGGTGTCTGAATAAATTTTGGTTTGACTGTATCTATTTGATAAATGAAGTTAACCAACTAACATTATACATACCCTTTTGGTTTCTGTACCCAATATTTAAAAAATGTACAAATGCAATAAAAATATCGGTATCGGTACTCAGTATCGGCAAGTACCAAAAATAAAAGTATCGGTATCGGGCGAGTACTGGAAAAAGTGGTATCGGTGCATCCCTACTTTTAACCACAATTTACACAAAAACAGAGAACATCTTAAAACCCAGAATATGTCTGAGAGAAGAATTTGATTTGATTATAAATGCAATCAGATGGCATGGTGCATAACAGAGTAATTATAACGTTTAATTCATCCACAAAGAGGAACGTTCTTAGCTTGCCCACCTTCATCTAACCATGTTCTCACATTAAGAGTTTAAGGGATAGTTCACCCAAAAATGAAAATTACCCCATATACATCTAGGATGGCTTGGCATTTTTGGGTGAACTATCCCTTTAAGCAAACAATTTGTTTGTAAATGAACTGAGAGACATTTAGTATCTTTCATTTAAAATTAAGCATGCAAGTTCTGCACAAAAGCTCCTCTACAAGACATCTGGATTATTCATGATGGCATGTAATGTTTGAAAGGCTTGTTTGAACGAAGATTCAACTGTCTGCAGCGTTTAATTATGGAGTTTAAGTGTAAGCATTTCAAAAACTCCCAAGGGAATATGAAGAGCTTCTGCCTAAAAAATATGTGGAACAACATGCAAAATAAAACATTTAAATGCACAACCATCTAAATGAAAGGAGTGTGCGGGGCAAAAAGAGGTGAGGAAAAAGGAAGTAAGAAATGAGACTACAAATGCCAGTGCCCCTCTCAGGGATCAAATCTGTCTCGGATATCCTGCTCTACTATTCCACCTCTCTGCTTTTATGGGTCAACCACACACACACACACACTCTCTCTCTCTCACGACACACACACACACATACACAGCATGAAAGTTGAAATCAGTTGTTTTAGTTTTGTATGTTTGACTTGTATGGTGACTTTACCATCTGTATAGATAGTGTTCAAACTGAGGGGTGCTGGTGAGGTCCTGGACTCTCTGAAGAAAGAGAGAAAACATTTAAGAAAAAGAAATAAATAAGAATAAAAAACCTTCTGTTCTGAATCTTAAAATTAATAATTAAAATATATTTATTTATTTACAGTGTTTCAAACTTTTGTTTTCCTTCATTTTAAAAATGCAATAAAAAATAAATAAATAAACAAGAAAGAAAAAAAAGTGACAATTCAAACCTGGGACAGATGAAAACTAAGTCAGGCCATATCCCATTCAATGTGATTGGCAAGTAAGTCAGAGTTAAGTGAGGATCGACGTGTGGTACTTGATCCCTCACTGTGACAGGACACACAGTATGCCTATACTACAAGAATAGAGATGACACTGTGATTAAATAAAAGGCCTGTGGCAGAGCTCACTGCCTCTCTAAGCCAAACTCACGTGGCTCTGGAAGTGTTTGCAAACAGCTAAAAGAGGTCAATCGCTCTCTGTGACTTCATCTTCTAAAAATAGACCAACACATGGCAAACTCCCCAGTAATGTGGTTTACGCTGATCAGATGGAACTGACCACATTTATGAGCTTAAACAAAAAGAGGGGTCTGTGTGGTCTCTTGGTTGACCGCCAACTGAGTGAAGTCAACACCACATACAAGATTTTCTTTAGCATGCAGTCTAGGGCTGCATGATTATGACAAAAATCATAATTGTCGATTCTTCCCTTGAAATTGTAATTGCGATTATTAATTACGATTATCACAATTTACATTGAATGATGTTTATACCATTGTTTGATGCAACTGCATGCCGTATTTTTATATGAAAATAAACAAGCTGAAATCACTCTAACTGAAAAAACCTTTAGTGCTTTTCTATAGTATTAAGCCTCAAATGTCAACTATACATCGAATTGGTTTCTTCTTTAAATTATAAAAAAAATAAAAATATAAATGGTATTATAATGTTATACTAAAACTAAAACTAAAACAATGGAAAAACCCTTAAGATAACATGTAGAAAGAAAAAAAAACATATCTTAAGCATGCAGAATAACATAAGTGGACTTTGAACGATTAATTGCCGCTTTGAACGATTACGTAATTGTGGCAACCATAATTGTAATTGCGATTAGAAATTCGATTAATTGTGCAGCCCTAAGTCACACAGTACGTCACACGTGCCGTTGGTCAATATCAGGATATCTGCTGACCGGGTGGCACACAACCCTATAGGCTAATAGACTATACAAATCGATGGGGAAAATCGGTTGTTATTTTTAAATAGTAGTTGTCTGTAAAATCTAATGTATGCTAAGCATTCCCGCAGATATGCTTGTAATTACTTTATGTCCATCATATAACAATGCACACTCGAGTATAGTGTGATACTCATTTCCATCATCAGCACCTACTTTCGAAAACCTCTCCAGCATATTTCCTCATGTCAAGAGTTGGCAACAGACTTGTCTGAAATACTTTGCAGGCTCCTTCTCTCATCACCAAATGAGTTCTCACTACAACCACAATGCATGTCTCTTCGGTCGAGAAAGCCTAGCAGTGAAACACAAGTAGAGAGTGGAGGTGGCTAGCCAAAACATCCCACACCGAACACAACCGCACTGGAGGAAGGCAGGTGTCACTTTCACATGGAACCACAATGACTAAATGCTCTTCCCTTTACTTAGGCCAGTTTCACAGAGCATGTATAAACAGCATATACTGTAAGCAAAATTGCAGCGTAACTTCGACAGCAGACCTGTTTTGACACAGACAAAAGCCAGAAATGATAAACAGTTATCAGGAGAGAGTTACTACACATTAATCTACACCCCAAACCCAAGGTAGCTATAATCAGTGCTGATTAGATCTGTTTCTGCATGTGGAATTTGTATCAAGACTGACATGGGTGTCTTTTTTAATCAATGGATCAATAGATCACTTCATTTTACATTTTACGTTCATAAAGGCTTATTTTGTAGTGATAAATAAGTTTACACTGTACTTTCAATGTATTTCAATGTAGCTAAGTGTGCTACACCTCAGCAGCGACAATCTGCTTGCATCAATGCTAATTTTGAAAGTTTTGATGCCACAGAATTTGATGTCTTTGTGAGTGACCCTATTGCTAAAATATGAATGTGGCTATATTTTATTCACATAAACACCCATTTATACTGTAAATATTATAAATATTTGTATAATATTATCTGGAAAATATTACCTTTCTATTAAGTGTACCCAGCATTAAGAGAGTTGAACGTATAAATCTGAAATAAAACTATGGTTGTCAATTTAATAAAGTAATTTTGATTAATCTCATGATTTCAGTTTTTAGAAAGCATATTGAAACTGTATTAATGTCAGATTTGGTGACAATTTTGATTTTTATGTAACTTTACTGCAGACACAATAGCACCCCCTTGCGGCCCCCTGTGCTACGCTTGTATATGCAGTGGGAATGACGAAATAAATATCTGTTTTCCAGCCTTGAATTTTCCAATTGTGAGCCACATTTAATATATATATCTGTAGATTCAGAAGCAGACATCCATTTGATTTGGTGAACTGCATCACAAACAACAGCTCCTGTTGGAGGAACCAAAAGGTAAATGCAGGATTAATGTGAAATGTCTGCACCTTAAAGAACACACAAAATGCAATCGGTTTACAAAAATGATGGGAATGTGCTGGGATGAAGGTCATCCCTTCAGTCTGACCGGATAAGAGGAGTCAGCAGCAGAGGGATTAACTTGCTTCAATCTGTGGTCTACATCTGATCAGAGGCTTGAACTCCTAACCTGATACCATCTTCACCCACTTGTTTACAATGGGCTGGATAACAGCGAGTCCTGCGCAGAAGACGATCCCTTGCCTTTCCTTAGCACTTAAAGGTGGAACGTTTAAATATTTATTTCTTTTTCTTTCTTTTCCATATGATTTAGGGACACTTATTTAGGAGAATAAAATATCATAACCTCAGGTAGCAGCCACAATTTATTTTCTTCTATTATTTAATTAATCACCAAAATTAATAAAACTAATCCATACATTTAATATGTGTCACTGTAGTGGATTTTGTTTCAAATAACCACTGCTGACAATTAAAAAATGTCTTTATTATTTATTTTAATATTTAATCATTTATTATCTATTAATATTATTTATTGTTCCAAAAACTTCAGCCTACTATCCTAGACCACCTGAAACATTTAGTTGCAAAATATGTAACCTTCTGTACACATGGTATGTACGTAGATTGATATTTTCCTGTCTCAGATGCATAACTACAGCACCAGACTGTCATACTTTCGTCCTTGTCTAGATTTAATACATACTTGGAAAACTTCAAGTGCCTCCTGCAGCTCAGTCATACTTCCTCCTGAGAAGAACAACCTCTACCAGGTTTTCTCAGCGTGTGGAAAGAGACTATTAGTCAGCCGGCCCACGTCACAGCATGTTTACATCGTCAGCTCTGGTTCTGGGATGCAGTAGGGAGGGGGAGCTCCCCACAACATCCTATCCCAGTCCTGGTCGCTCATCTTCCAAGGCTGACCATAAACAACAGCTCTTATTGCATGGCAACAGGACGCTCTCCAAAACGCACGCTACCCAGCTCTCAGTCCAAACACTTCAGAGAGTGTGTACAAACAGAGGCCAGCAACCCTCAACAGCGGCAGATCACAGAGAAGACAGCCGGCCCTTAACATAGAGCTATATTTGGTGTGGAAAGTTACCATACCTCCGATACAGAGCGGGCAGTTGGTGAATCCTGGTGGTTGGCGAGAATGAGGAAAGGAAGGGTGCACAGCTGAGGATGCTGCATGGCCAAATGGAGCTCAGACCTGGACGCCTCCATCTCTTCATCTGACGCAGCACTGTTGAGGACAAACACCACACCTTGGGAACCTTGATAATATCGACTCCAGTATTTCTTGATGGTCTCAGCTCCTACAGAGAGGGAAGCAGTAATGATGTACCATGTGACCGTTCATGTACCATCATAAGCAAGCAAAAATCAAAAGTGAAATATTGGCCCCCTTTCCATTAATGAGTGTGAATTTTAATTGAATTAGCTAAACCCAACAGGAAGATGAACTGAATTTCCATCGTAGACCACAAAAGTTCACTTATTAAATATAACTAAATGTATGAGCTAAATAATATTTTTAGTAAATACATTTTTTATAGGTGGTATCTATCTATCTATCTATCTATCTATCTATCTATCTATCTATCTAATCTTCATGGCTTTTAAACCTAAAGTTTAAAAATTATCTAGAGAAATTTTGATTTTATAGCTTAAAACTTATTCAAATTGCAATTTTATCCTGTTTGCTACCTGAAGTCAAATTTAATTCAAACTGAGGAATTGAACTGGAGTTTAAAAGCCATTCTTCCTTAAATTCTGAATGGCACACAATCCTGGTTAAAGCCATTACAGGTCTTTAATTTCTGATGTTAGGTTCACATTCATGGATTCACTCTTGTACAAATCTGAAATTTCCAAGGAGATGTCACAGAACAGATCATGAAATAAAATAGTCCCATTTCCTTATAGCATCTTTCCTGTAGCATCAGTCCATGACGTATATCATATTATTCTGTTACAGTGCTCCTCTTGATTTCAAATAAGTTTTAAAATCTTTCAAACGAATCCCTTAGGCTTAGAGTACTAAACTTAGCCTGACTGGAGTCATCCAAAGTAAATATGAAAGAAAAAAGGAAATAAATCATCAAGCACTATTCTGTCACAATAATCATAAGACCACAAGTCAAGTCATGTAACTGTTGACAAATCCGGTGAGATCACGATGACGCAAGTTTGTAGAAAAAATGGTCTTGAAGTCTCAAAACAACATTGTTTTGTGGAAACTGCAAGAAATAAATCACACTCGCCAGAAAAGAAGCATTTGGTTTGACTTGCCAGGCTAAACTAGTGTAAAATAACAGCACACAAGACTCCTGGGGAGATGTGAAACGGCAGTATGGTCATTTGCTCAGTGTTTTCTAACAGCCTGTTCGGAGATGCCAGTTTAGTTCAAATATCTCAATGATTTGGTTCAGCCATCTCACGTGTCTGTGCAAAGAGATGATAGTAATTTATAACAATAACAATAACAATAACAATTTATAAAATGTGCAAATGAATACAGTAGAGATGTAGTAAATGAAATGAAATGTTTTGCCATTTACATAATGAAAGAGAATGGCACTTAATGATTATATGATTAATTATCAAGACATATCTGTGTCATCACAAGTATGACAAACATGTAAAAACCTGTTTGTCTTTGGAGGCATGTTATGCTCAACATCACAAAAACGTCTGCTTAGTTTAACCACATCTATTTCAAAGAGACATAATGGAGTTAGAAATAGATCAACAGACAGAAAGACCATGAGCATCCAGTTTCTCAAAAATGTTTCTCCAAAGAGTAAATAGGCCTTTTCAGGAACTATAGAATGTATTTGGGTTTCCACCAAGTCTCTTGGTTGCTTGTTCAAATGTTAAGCAAATGTTTTACTGGTTTATAGTCTACATATGGTTATTTTTAATGCTATAAAATAATGTGCACCATGCCACGGTAGTTGTTTTTATTACGTGGCACTCTGGAACAATTCATTCTGATTTGTTCATTCGAATGCTTATGTATAATGACTGCTAAACTGTATTTGATCGTTGCCAATCAACCGATTTCCATAGTTGTTCACAGCAGCACTCCACAGCCTCTTTCTTTCACATAATAAAATATATTCAATTTAAATGTCCATTCATTTATTTATTGCCATTTATTTGGCAAATAGTTGTGTAATAAATAGGATACTGTGCAGTCAGACAGTCATTATTGCAAAATGTAAACCTGTTCAGGATGATCTGATCACCCCATCAGGGTTTATTTTGCGATAATGACGTCTGACTGTAGGTCAAGCCTTAGGTGTAAGTTATCACAAAGTGAGTCATCCACTAATCTCCCATCTTCATTACACTTCTGTTCAAAACGTTTGCGGTCAGCAAGTTTTTTTTTTTCATTTTTTCAAAGAAATTAATACTTTTATTCAGCAAGGATGCATAAAATTTGTCAAACGTAACAGTAAAGAAATAAAATGATATAATAAAACTTGAAAAAAAATGTATCACACTTTAAAAAAAAATATTAAGAAGCATAACTGTTTTCAACGTCAATAATAATAATATGTATGTTCTAGAGCCCTAAATCAGCATATTAGAATGATTTCTGAAGGATCATGTGACACTTAAGACACTTAATGGCTGCAGGAAATTAAGCTTTGCCATTACATTGCGTTTTAAAATATATTTATATTTCACAACATTCGTTTTTACTGTATTTTTGATCTAATCAATGCAGCCTTTGTGAGACAAAGAGACTTCTTACAAAAAACATTAAAAAATCTCACTGAACTCAAACATTTGAAAAGTAGTGTACGTCAAGTACACACGAGCCTGTAACCTCATTTCAGACTTTCACCATCCAGATGTTTTACCACAGTCCAGCCACACCATTTACTGTTTCCCATAACACAATCAGAATAACAGCAAGAAGGTAAACTCAAGCTGACTGCACAGTGTCAGCTTGAAAAAAAAAAAAAGGTGTCTGCTAAATTTAATGCCAGTTATCTGCATGCTCAGACAGCATCTGAGGATATTTTTTTTTTATTTCCGCACTAATTTTGGGGCAAATCAGTTGAATTCTTCTCAATTGATTTAAACATTGAGAAACATTAAACAAAGTTGTACTACACTCTTACAGCTAGATTAAAGCATAATCAAAATAGCCAAAATGCTAAATAAACATACAAGGATCAGGGAGTATGTAGAACTTGAGGAAATTCTGAGGAGTTTGTGGAGTTCAGTGGCTGTACTTTGCGACTGAGTCTGGTCATTTGCTTGGATCTGTGTGGTTACATCAGTGATCAGTGGAGCACATCTCATACCCATCTATCATCACACTGACATCTTCTGCCATCTATTGGTCAATGGCCCTGTCAGGAAGTCAAATGTTAATTTGCTGGAAAAACATACTCAGAAAGTCACTGATGTTTCTGTATGGCATCCCAAGACATCATTTAAAACACATTCTGGTTTTGCTCAGACAGAATAATGGAGTACCCACTGTACATACTCATGATGTTGCAGGGCACCATTATGTAAGACATATGTGAGACTAAAAATGAAATTTTGCAAAAACAATCTACTCTTCCTAGGACCTGTTATCTTGACCTGCCAAGAGAAATGCAGATATGTTGAAACAGTCTGTCTTGGCTGCTCGTCTGTCCACATCTCCAGGGCATAGTGTTTCATCTTAACTCATTAAATGTCCATCATCCTGGATCACATCAGACAGCGTGGGTCTTGAAATGCCTTTCCACAGCTCAGATCCAGGTCATGGTATCCAGCTCGAAACCATCTAACCACAGGCAGCAGAAAGTACAAACAACCAAGCATAACCAGGTCTTAGGTTTCTTTTCTCCTTAAATATAAATGAGTAAAATACTTTGGCGCTGTTTAATGTAATCCACACTTCATTCCTGCATTATGTGTGTGCCATTTACATTGCCATTCAAAAGTTTGTGGTCAGTAAGATTTTTTGTTTTGTTTTTTAAAGAAAGGGCACATTCAATTGATCAAAAGTGACAGGAAAGACTTACTAACAAAGTTACAAACATTTCTATTTCAAATAAATGCTGCCTTTTTGAACTTTAATTCGAAGAATCCTGAAGAAAAAAATGTATCAGAGTTTCCAAAAAATATTAAGTAGCACAACTGTTTTCAACCGATAATAATAATAAAAGTTAATAAGTGCCAAATGAGCATATTCAAATGATTTCTGAAGGTTCATGTGACACTGAGGACTGAAGTAATGACTGCTGAGTTATTTTAAATTGTAATAATATTTCACAATGTTACTGTTTTTAATGTATTGTTGTTAAAATAAAGGCAGCCTTGAGAGTGAGCATGAGAGAGAAAAAAAGAGAAGCAAACGTTTCAGCCTGGAACAGTATTTATGTGTGTAGCAAAGTGATAGGAATTTCTGGTCTGGTATGGAACACCGGAAAGGCAGAAAATACGAACAAGCGGAGTGATACAGTGCAACTTCCCCTGACTAAATACCAACAACAAAAGAAAGCTGCTTGACCAATCACATTTGAGAACCCTATCCCCCTTCCTCAATGCCTGATCAAAAATGTAATGTGTTATTATGAAATCTTTTTCTAGCTAATCAGGAGAGCTTTGACCAGTTAGCACTACAAGTTATTTTAACATTTTTTTTTTTTTGTTACAAGGATAAAGAAATAAATACTTTTATACAATACAATTACTTATCAAGCACTGAATAGAGTACCCATAAAAAATCTCTTTGATGTAAGGAGGGCAGGATTCTGCAGGAGGAAAGGATAAGACAGCCAAGCCTACTTCACACAGAGTATTTATTACAGAGATTGATCAAATTTGAGATATGAATCTTTAATATAAAGTTATTTATTTATGATCCTTATAAACTCTACTTGTCATCTGCTGCCCAGCTGGTTCAAGAGCCTGCAGAGTTTGACTTTCCCTCTGCAAATGCGAGATACATCAGCATCCCTGATTTCATCACCATTATATTCTCATAATCGCTTGTGTCGTAAATTGAATGGAATTTTGTGGAAACTAGATTACAATAGAAACAGTCGCCACATATCACATTTAGTCATTAGCGTTGCATTAGTGCAGTCATGGGGAAACATGACAGCATTTGTCATTGCTAACTATAATCAGGTTATAACCTTCAATACTAAAGAACAATGGGCAAAACCCCTGACTACACAGACTAATTTGGTTTGGTTTGGCAGGAGCAACTCAACTCTGGCAGGACATATATATATATATATATATATATATGCAAATATTTATAGATCTATTTTTACAGTCATAAGTTCAGAACAAA